GTAGTGACTAATAGACAGGTAGGCACATTGTCAACATGCACATCAAGCGCAATGACACCGGGGGTATCAAGCAACAGCCAATCACTTGAGAAAAAGATAACAAAGAAAATAAATCGAGTAATGCATAAGGAAACGGTGACAAATCTAAAATTAATGAGCATATGAAATAAGCTGTTTGCAAAAGAATCCGAGATAAGTTCCCGAGGACAGAAATTAAATTTTACGGAAATGCCACAAACACGAAAATGATATCGAAATTAACTACAATAGAAGAAAGTACTAGTAGGCATTTATATGAGAAAGGAAAGCATTAAGACAAAATTGCAAACCCATCACCTGAAATAATGAGACCCAACATGCAAGCACGCGCTTAGTAAATCGAATGCAGCCTGCCTACAAACGTTGCGCCGGTTCTGTTTACGTTCTCTGCAGGACCCGTCGTAGCTTCGGTAGTGGTCCCGAGTGGCCTCGCCCATGGCTCACCAGACCTGCCTGACTCAGGCACTGGCTACTGCATGTGCTACCGCACCATACGCTCCATGTAGATGGATTATAGACCATCGGTGCTTGCCGCTTCCGCACTTGCCGCTTCTTCTTTACATGTATGAGGTCTTTCTCCCGCACTTCGGCAACTGCCTTCGTGATTAGATCGCGCAATGCACGCTGATCAGCCGCCTTCGGTTCCCATGACCTGCAATCAAGATAACGACGTGATGGGCTCATTATGATCATGTCATGGTAACGTAACTTTGGTTTTCTCACATGCCGACTCCTAATACTCAGCTGACCATTTAGGAATTGTTTCGTTATCCGCGTCGAATACCTACGGCTCACATGACCAAGCCACCTCACATATCCCAGCAAAAGTATGCAGTCCACTGCATACATTCCACTTTGTAGCAACACTTCCGTGTCAGCCAATCTGTCACACCAACAGACGCGCAGAATACGTCGCAAACACTATGGATGGAACCTCTTGAGATATCGCATATCACGCCCGTACATCGTACACGTTTTGCTGCCATATAGAAGAACGGAGAGGATCATGGATGTATACACCGTCAGCTTCGCGCCAATGGTAAGCTGCTGGTTGTTCCACACCCGAATGCCGTCGCGGTCATCGATAAACGCATACGCACCTCATTGTGTAGCTGCAGGTCAGTCGACATCACACTCCCAAGGTAGCAGAAGCGAGAGGTTTTCAATACTTCAGCACCAACGCTGATTCGCGGCAGCAATGTAGTTTGCACCTCCGGTGAAGGCTGAAAGATGGGGGTTGAACTGTTCGCTGAGCTTGGCAATATTTTTGCAAACGTTTCGTCACCAATCGAGGTGACATCATCAGTGCGTAGTTGAGTGGCATGAAATAGCAAAGAGTAGCGTAGCGGAGCCTCGGTGAGAGTGCGCTGAGCGTGGTGTGTGTGCGTTTTTTTATCGCCGTGGTTGTCCGTAGAGACGAGCAATCCTATGGGCTGGGACTTCGATCCGCGTTCAGCTGGGTTGATGGGCAGATGACGTTTGACCTTGACCCTGTGTTTAGTGGCCTTTGTCTGCTTGCTCTTGTGCGTGAGTCCGTCCTCAGTTCTGGTTGTCTAGTCACACTTTCCATCGGATTCAATCGATCGAGTTGTCGGTCGTTGACCAGTAGTGTTGCGTATACTACGTCCAGTTCGATGTGTCGATTGATTGAATTCGTTGTAGAGTACCAGGCTTCCAACAACTCCGTCGCGTGTTTTGTACTTCCACATGCTAGAATCATTACGTTTTCCAGATAGAAATGGTGCCCTTCTTGATCTTCATGTGCAGAAACCAACGAATGCGCATCATGTCTTCTGACAACCGCCTTGGGTTCAGTGATTCGTGTACAAAGCTTTCTTTCCAGTTTGTCTGACGTAGTTTTTGTCGCAGTCGCTGCATTTTATCTCGTGGATGATATTGCATTGGTTGGCTTGATTGAGTTTTGCTTTGGGTCTTGAGATCAATTTTCTTAGGGTGACACATGGTTTGTGAGCCACAGTGATGCCATGTGACCGCAGCAACCTTCTTATGAGTTCGGATACTTTCTTGATGTAAGGGAGCACTATCCGTTTGTTTGCTTGCTCAGGTGGCTGCTGCTGCTGTTTCTTTAAGCTTCTTCTGATGAAATTTCTCGGATAACCGTTGTTTCTAAACACTCGATATAAGTGATTTTCTTCCTGTTTTCGCGATTCGGCTGTGCTGCAGTGCGTTTCCGCTATTTTGAAGAAAATTGCCAAGCTCAGCGAACATTTCAACCGCCATCTGAACAACCTGAGCTACCCGCCTTCAATGCTATATCCAACCAATTCAGGCACACAACGCTACAACAAGCTCGTCGTTGGGAAACCTTTGCCTGCCGACAAGATTGCACACGCGAACAGCTCTACTTTCTTCATGAATGCCAGAGAAGAAATGTGCTGCCAGCGAGTACAAACCACAGACCGACGCTAAACCATCCAGCCGCCTGGAACTTAGCAAGACAATACGGGAGACGCATGGTCAAACTGATGATAACGGATGCCCACAACCGCCTACGCAAATACGAGAAAGTCATAATCGAAAATAGAACCAATTGCCTCAGTACTATTGACCCACAGCTACGAACAGCACTGGAATCCGCAATTGAACATCGAGTCAAAAGCACGAAGAACCGACGCAAGGCTGCATTGAACACAAAGCTAGATAAACTGACCAAGAGAAGTGAAGGTACTAGTAGTGAAGGCTGGATCAAAAACCTTTCATGCCGCCAACTCACTGCAACTGAATAGGATGTTTTGATCAAGGGGCTCAACTTCAACGTCAAAGATGCTTGCCCCAAAGACTACTTGGCTAGATTAGAACACGCCCTGAAATCAAATGGACTGTCAGAGGAGACCCAGCAACAGATACGGCAGACAGTTGTCCCAGTACTAACTCGGAATAAAGCCACACGGAGTCTAGCCAAGGAGGAATTGGATGCACTCAAACGCCTACAGAAAGATGAGAACATTGTGATCCTACCAGCGTACAAAGGACGCATGACAGTGACAATGGACAAACCGGAGTATATTAACAAGGCCAAAGAACTGCTATCCGACACAACTACATATCGCCAGATCGAGCAAGATCCAAGTTCAAAATTGGTCAACCAGATCAACGCAACACTGAAGAAACTACAAACAAAGAACGAGCTCACCGCCACGGAGCGGTGGAGAAGGAAAGCTGATGATACAAACATTGCACTATTCTATGGCCTACCAAAAGTACACAAGGATGGAGTCCCTCTGCGACCAATTGTCTCGCTCCCCGGAACCCCATCACATAAACTAGCGAAGGATTTGTGGAGGAGGTTGAAACACTTGATTGCTGGATCTGAACATAGCGTCAACAATGCTGAACAATTCCTCAACAAAGTGCGGGGTGTCACAATAGAAGATGACGAAATAATGCTTTCATTCGATGTCACCGCACTCTTCACTTCAATTGGTCACGAAGTGGCCCAAGAAATCATGATGGAACTACTTGAGAATCAACTAAGCTCAACGACAACCATACGACCTGAAAGCTTTTGGGAACTTCTGAACCTCTGCATGACTACTTATTTCCGCTTTGATGGACAAGTGTACCATCAACTGAGAGGAACCCCCATGGGATCGCCAATTTCGGGGCTCATTGCAGAAGCCGTGATGCACAAATTGGAGCGCATTGCACTGCCATCTATCAGCCCAAAACTCTGGATGCGATACGTGTACGACACATTTGTCATGGTAAAACGGAACAGAGTACAGGCCACGCACGATTTGCTCAACAACACATTCGAGGATATCAAATTTAAGGTTGAATTAGCGAAGGATAACAAGTTACCATTTTCGGATGTACTGGTCACTAGGAATACCGACGGTTCTCTGCAAACGAGCGTATATCGGAAGAAAACACATACGGACCAGATATTAAACTACCACAGCAACCATCCGAAGAATCACAAGAAGAGTTGCATTCAAACCCTGTTCAAAATAGCGGAAACGCACTGTAGCACAGCCGAATCGCGAAAACAGGAAGAAAATCACTTATATCGAGTGTTTAGAAACAACGGTTATCCGAGAAATTTCATCAGAAGAAGCTTAAAGAAACGAACGCCTCAGCAACAGCAGCAGCAGCCACCTGAGCAAGCAAACAAACGGATAGTGCTCCCTTACATCAAGAACGTCTCCGAACTCACAAAATGATTGCTGCGGTCACATGGCATCTCTGTGGCTCACAAACCAAGTGCCACCCTAAGGGAACTGATCTCAAGACCCAAAGAAAAAGTTAATCAAGCTGACTACTGCAATGTCATCTACCAGATAAAATGCAGCGACTGCGATAAAAACTACGTCGGACAAACTGGAAGAAAGCTTTGTACACGAAGCACCGAACACAAGGCGGCCGTCAGAAGACATGATCCACACTCGTTGGTTTCTGCGCATGAAGATCAAGAAGGCCATCATTTCGATCTGGAGAATGTAAAGATTCTAGCACATGGAAGTACAAAACGTGAGGGAGTTTTTGGAAGCCTGGCACTCTACGACGAATTCAGTCAATCGACACATCAAACTGGATGCAGTATACGCAACACTACTGGCGAACCACCGACAACTCGATCGATTGAATCCGACGGAATGTGTGACTAGACCACCAGAACGGAGGACAGACTCACGCACAAGAGCAAGCAGACAAAGGCCACGAAGTACAAGGGGTCAAGGTCAAAGGTCATCTGCCCATCAACCCAGCTGAACGCGGATCGAAGTCCCAGCCCATAGGATTGCTCGTCTCTACGGACAACCACGGCGATATAAAAAACGCACACACACCACGCTCAGCGCACTCACCTATTACCTCACCTCACCAATCAATCCCATAAACAACAACCCTAACCACACCCCTTCCCATCACCCCTATAAAACATCCTAATCTCTCACAATTACAAAATAACCTCATCTATATCAAACACCACCCACAACAACTTACCTCACCACCCCACCACCCCCACCAACTACACCACACCCCCCACCCCACCCCCACACCTCCACACACCCCCCAACCACACCCACACCCCAACACCAACCCCCCCCACCAACACCCCCCCACACCCCCAAACCCCCACCACCCCCAACGCCACACACCACCCCCCCACCAAACCACCCACACACAAAACCCCCCCACCACACCAACACACAACACCAAACCCACCACCCCACCCCCCCACCACCACCACCCCACCCACCCACCACCCCCCACCAACCCACCCCACCACCCCCACAACACCCCCACCAACCCACAACCCCCCCACCCCCCAACCCCCCCCACCCACCCACCCACCCCACCCCAACCCACCCCACACACCCCCCCCCCCCACCCCACCAACCACCCCCCACAACCCACACAACCCCCCACCACCCCCCCCACCCCCACCAACCCACCCCCCACCCTCCCCCCCCCCCCCCCCCCCCCCCCCCCCCCCCCCCCCCCCCCCCCCCCCCCCCCCCCCCCCCCCCCCCCCCCCCCCCCCCCCCCCCCCCCCACAAAAAAATACAAATATTTATACACAATATATATATCATATATCCATATACAAAAACCCCCCCCCCCCCCCCCCCCCCACCCCCCCCCCCCTCAATATATATATACGGGAAATTTTCATCCAATCCCAAAGCCTTGTATAGCCCCGTCAACAGTCTTCGACAAGTCAAGCACGGTGTCACCGCAATGACGACCCCCACAGGACTCACGAAATCAGCTAACGAGGCAGCAGAAGTCCTGTGCCAGCAGTACACATCCACATTCTCCGTTCCATCAATGTACACAACGACTTTACCTTCTTCGGTTTCACCCTCAACTTCCCTGACGACTGTTCATTTCACTCCGGAGAAGGTCCTGACGAAACTCAAATCCCTGCGGCTAACGGCCTCTCCTGGCGCTGATGGTTTCCACCCACGGTTCTTGCGAGCGTGCGCTGCATCTCTAGCTTTACCTCTAGCGGAGCAGTTCACCCACTTCTTCTCGCGAAACAAAGTTCCCAATGATTGGAAATGTGGGACTATTACACCAATCTATAAAGGCGGTACCCGCAAAGATCCGGCCAATTACCGACCGATAACTCTCCTATCTACGATCTCCAAAGCGATGGAATCGATTGTCGCGGACGCTTTAATGGACTACATAGAGGCCCAGAAACTGCTCTGTGATTGCCAGCACGGTTTCCGGCGTCAACGGTCATGACTGAGTAACCTGCTACTTGCCAGGGACAGCTGGACGACTGCTGCCGAATCTGGCTTAGAAACGCATGTCATATTCCTGTATTTCGCCAAAGCCTTCGACAAGGTCGACCACAAGATTCTACTGCAGAAACTGTTGTCTTACGACGTTTCAGGGGACTGGACTGGACTGGATCCGAAACTACCTTCAAAACCGTACCGTCCAAGTACGCGTCGACGGAGCGTTGTCTCCCCGCATCCTTGCCACAAGCGGAGTTCCACAGGTGTCTGTTCTCGGACTGCACCTCTTCCTAGCCTTCATTGACGACGTCACACCGCAAGTGGAGTCTTCGCTGCTGCTATACGCGGATGACGCGAAGCTGTGGTGCACAATTGACCTTCCGGACGATGCCCACGCACTTCAGACGGACGTCGACTGTCTACATCAGTGGTCCATAGAAAACAACCTTCCATTTAACGCTTCGAAATGTCGCGTCCTTTTTCCCCTCCCTTCCGCCTTCCCTCCTGTATATTACCTGGGAGCGTCTATCCTCCAGATCTCTTCAGCCGAAAGAGACTTGGGTATCATTACCCAGACGAGCCTTTCCGTATGCGCTTCCTGCCGAAAAGCAGCTGATGCTGCTAACCACATGGTGGGATTGTTGAAACGAGCCTTCGGTCAAACTGACCCCAGCAATTTCCGTCTCCTCCTCAACGCTTTTCTTCGACCCCACTTGGAGTTCGCTATTCAGGCTTGGAGCCCTTGGTTGTTGAAGGATCAACGCATACTCGAAGCCCCACAACATCGAGCAACCAAACTGGTCCGAGGTCTCATGCACCTAGGTTATCCACAACGACTTCAGTGCCTGGGCCTCTACTCGCTTAAGTACCGACGTCTACGGGGCGACCTGATCCTTGTATTCATGATCTTATCCAACCCTGGACATCCCTGTCGCCACCTACTCACACTGCACCAATCGGGCTCCCACCTACGTGGCCACCCACTGAGGCTCACACATCAGCACAGTCGGCTGAACTGTAGACGACACTACTTCTCTTTGCGAATCTGCCGACCGTGGAATGCTCTGCCTGCCGATTTAGTCTTGGCACCCACTGTGGTGGACTTTAAGACCCGCCTGGACTGTCATCTGGCCGAGTTGCACCGCGATATTCCCTAATATAACTACCTTCTACTGAATGGAATTTCTTTCTTTTTTCTTCTTCTACCTACATCCTTTCCAAAGCCGTTTCGGAGGGCGTGGTGGGATGTCACGCTTTGAGCTGGCGTGCATTCTGTTTAAATGCCGCATAAGCCCGATGAAGATACGGCTAACACGCGAGTCCAACCCGCTATAAGGTTGCTTGACCTTTCATCAGATCCGACCCGAACATTTTTTACCCTATGGGTCATGTAAAGCTCGAGCTTTTATTCCCATTAAATATAATGTTCAATGTTCAATGTCGCTGCAAGTTCGGACTGAACCACGAGTCTCAGGATTCTCGGGCCGCATCCTCTATAATTTGGTAAGAGAAGTAACCTTTTGAACGATCGCGCCACCACAATATATAAGGAAACGGCTTCCCAGATGAATCGCCATTGTTCTAAATCGTGATTCCCGGCCCCTTGACTACCGTGTGAAGGAAACTCTGGCACACCATGGATGAAGATAGTCTTTAGGCAGTCTGGCTTTTTGTGACCTTCTTCGGAGTTTCATTTCGACTGTCGCATGTTCCACGGAACATCAGGATAGATACATAACCCACACGATTCATATTGTAGCGCTTTTGCGAAAGCAGATCCTGTCCCACATCGGTTGATGATTCTAGTCTTATTCTAATAAATCTGTGCTTACCAACGTGTGCAGAGTTCGGGTGACGAGTAATTCGTACTTAGTTTGTGGGTTTTACTTTCATCACAAAGCACAGTGACTCCCATTGGTTCAGGTCGTCTGACAATTTAACTTGCAATGTTATAGCTGCCGATTCGGGTACGTTCGAGCACACAACAGTCAGGGCACCATTGTTAGTCACATTTTCGTTGAGCTGTAAGCTTGGGGGATCGTGTGTCCTGACTTTCTACCAAGTGATGATTGCTTATTGTTTGTCTCTCTATTCACGTTAGTGGTGTTTGTAACAGAAGAAACAGAAAGGCTGGCCTCTCGGGTGAATTGTGCAGTGATCGCGGCACATGTGTCTGATGTTCTATGGGACTTTGACTCGACAATAGAGCCCTGAGCTGCAGATGCTGGGGGTTACTGTTCGTCTGGTTTGTCCTTTTAACATACATCTGCCATCAAGACTGATGGGATTTGATTACACATGTTTTGGTTGGTGCCTGATTTTAGTTGCAACGGGCACAGTTTGCCTCTCGGAGTTACGGTCAGTTTTCGCCTGGTGTTCAGCCAAATATGGGGATCTACATCAGTATCGGGTAAAGCAGCATTCATCGCCGGTACGTCCACTTTTTCAGATGATTTCGTAAGTTGTCGTTGCGAAGCATCTGCAATCCTTAACCGAAGTTCCGATGGAAAGCTTTTTCGATTTTTGCGCCATGTTACAAGTAAGGAAGAAATCGGTCCAGTTAAAAGTGTGCACCAAGACAGTGAATTTCTTTAGTTTATTCTACCAAAATTGCACATTCTTGCAACGGGGCTTTTGGTATACACGAAATGTCCATTTTGCAACAGTCAACATTGTGACCACTATCGTGTAGACATTCCGGTACATTGAAAACAGCAACTATTGGACCAGCAGTGAACATGAGGTTTACGGGATTGTGCAACTGTGTAGGAGATGGAGCAATGGTTTATAACAGGTATAAAACAAGTGGTTGATAAGCCCCGTAGGATGTTTAAGGTGAAAATTACAAAATAATAAACCGTCAGTTGAAAAAATCACCCAACCTACATACCTTATCAAGGGATTTTGGATTAGTAGCACAGTATTCCTGTCTGGAGTTTGAGAGGATTATGACCCTGTTCACTGTTTGTTCTGCTCTAGTGTCATCATCTGATATTCATGAGCTATATCATGTAGTGTAAATGTATCAGCGTATCCTCAGTGTTTTCTGAATTAGGATAAGGTGGGGGCGTTAATTAAGTGCGCCGGGAAGGAGATACAGGGCTGTGATACTCGAAGGGATAAAACGTCTCGCCAACAGTCCAGTCGCTTGTACTGCGTGGTCAACTTGAACTGATGAACCCTCAGTGATGTGCTTTGACCGAGTTTCGAAAGATGGTGGTGTATGTGCTTGGATTTTTTTACAAGGATCTGGTACACAATTATTATATTAGATCTACCCGTAGACTTCGATAGCGTCTGCTGTACCATTTCAGCCTGAGTAGGTCAGGAAGCTAAGAAATAACCTTTGACATTCTTCGTCGTCCTGCGTTGTGCAGTATCGAGCTCGGTGAGGTAGTGCTTCTACTAGAGTTTCCACGCTTGGCTAGCGTATTCCGTTTTCGGCCTCATGTACTCGCCAGGCATTTTCAGCAAGTCTGAGGCGTCGAACGCCCTACGCAGGAGGCCGAAGTGTTGATTTGCTTTCCGTGACACCTTTTCTACTTGCCTCTAACATCCAAGGTCATCTTGCACGAGTACGCCGAGACCACCCTCATGAAAAGCCTGCTATAGAATTTCTGGCCCTAGCCGGCAGTTATGTGTGCTCAGAATTTTGCACTTGTGATGTTGAACTGCAGCATTTTCTCGATGGACGATGTGTACGCCTGATACAAATCATCTTGTATGGCTGTGTGACCCTCCAATGTGGTGATATCATGTCATTTCGTTAGATCATCAGTGAATGACATAACATTTGAAGTAAACACCGCGAGATCATTTATGAAAACCAGGAACAGGCGAGGCCCGAGTACCGAGCCCTAAGGTATGCCGCACAGAGTTTCGATTGGTTCGGATAGGGTGCCGCAAACTCTTACATTCAGGTGACGTTGAACAAGAAAGTCGACTATCCAGCCCAGAACGGGATTATCGATTCCATAATTCTGAAGCTTGTGAAGTAGAATGTGATGGTCTAGTCCAGATGGGCGGCATCTACTCCTACACCAGCTTCCACAGATTCCGTCCAGCATGCACGAGCAATCAGTAAATTAGTGATACAGGACCGATTCTGGCGAAATTCGTGCTGTTCCGGAGTGAGAATTTCGTTACCCTCCAGGTACCGCATGATTACCTCGGAGACGATGGACTCCATGATCTTGGAGATCACCGGAGGTAGTGTTATCAGGCGATAATTTGCTGTTTCTGCACGGGTGCCACTTTTGTAGATTGGAGTGATGATCTCGTGCTTCCACATTGTGTGGACTTGCATCTCGTTGAGACACCGTTGAAAGAATATTGCTATTAGCTCA